TCCCAAGACAAATCATTTCTATGTTGTCCTCATGTGACAATTTATAAACACTTTTAACAGAATCTGCATTGTGAGTACTATTAATACAATTTCCCCAAAATAATTAGTCATGCTCAACGTGAAAAGGCAATCACCTCGTCACGTGGTTATCAGGCGGACCCAAGTAACCGTGAAAGAAGCAATCCTCTGTGCGGTGAGACCAAAACAACAAATAACCTATAAAGGAAAGGCTATCAGAGTAACGACAGACTTCTCATCTGAAACCTTATAAGCCAGGAGGGATTGCGTGCCTATGCTTAATCTTCTAAAACAGAATAAAGCCTAACCTAGAATTCTTTATCTGGCAAAATTAAGTTTCATCTATGAGGAAGAAATAAAGTCTTTCTCAGACAAGCAATCACTGAAGGAATTTGCAAAGACCAGCCCAGCCCTACTGGAAGTTCTCAGACTCGCCTTTCACACCGCACAGGGCAATAGACACTCCTCAAAGGAAAATCTTTAAAGAGTTAAAGGCTAGAACTTGAACTGCATGATGGCTCAAGGAGTAAGACAAAGCAATAGGACTTCAACTAATAATATGAATGGAAATCTTCCTCCAATTTCAATCCTCTCAATAAATGAAAATGGCTTAAACTGTCCTCTGAAGAGGCATAGACTGGCAGAGTGGATAAAAATCCACAAGCCTAGTATCTGCTGTCTACAGGAAACACATCTAACCCACAAAGATGCCTTCTGGCTGAAGGTCAAGGGATGGAAAACTGTCATCCAGGCAAACGGAAGTAAAAAAAAAGCAGGGGTAGTTATACTATTTGCAGATAACATAAGCTTTAAAATAGCAATAGTAAAAAAGGATAAAGACGGCCACTTTATAATGCGAAAGGGAAGATCCAATAAGAAGATTTAACAATTCTTAATATTTATGCATCCAATGCAGGAACACCCAATTACATAAAGCAAACCTTGTCTGATCTAAATAGCATGTTAAACAATACTGCCATAGAAGCAGGGGACTTCAACACTCCACTGAGTGAACAGATAGATCCTCCAAACAGAAAATAAGCAAAGAAATAATGGGCTTAAACAGACCTCTTGATCAAAATGTCTGACTGTTCTCTACAGTACATTCCACCCAAATAAAGTTGCATTTACATTTTTCTCAGCAGCCTATGGATCCTTCTCCAAAATTGATCACATACTAGGCCGCAAATCGGATCTCACAAAATACAACAAAATAGAAATTATACCATGTGTCTTCTCTGACCATAGTAGTATAAAATTAGAATTCAATTCCTATAGGAACACTCAAAACTTCACAAAGTCATGGAAACTAAACAATCTATTATTTAAGAATTATTGGGTCAAAGAGGAAATTCAGAGGGAAATCAAGAGTTTCTTCCAACAAAATGATAACGGAGACACATTGCCAAAACCTGTGGAATACAGCAAAAGCATACCTGAGAGGAAAACTAATAGCAATAAACGCTCACATCCAATGAACAGAAACTTAGATAATGACAACCTAATGAATAGACTCGAGGCATTGGAAAAAGAAGAGCAAATCAACTCCAATCCTAACAGAAGAAAAGAAACAACTAAGATCAAAGCAGAACTACATGAAACAGAGAACAAGAGAATTATACAGAAGATCAACAAAACCAGAAGCTGGTATTTCGAAAGGATAAACAAAATTGATGGCCCTTTTGCTAGATTTGCAAGAACTCAAAGGGAAAGGACTCTAATAAACTCAGTAAGTAACGAAAAAGGAGAGGTTACAACAGACACCACAGAAATACAAAACATTATGTTTGACTACTATAAAATACTATATGCCCAAAAACTACATATCGAGGAAGAAATGGACAAATTCCTGGATTCATACAACCTCCCTAAGTTCACCCAGGAGGAAACAGAATTTCTGAATAGACCAATCTCAAGCTCAGAAATTGGAATAGTAATTAATAAGCTCCCCATACGGAAAAGTCCCGGACCAGAAGGCTACACTTCAGAGTTTTACCAAACACACAACGATGAACTCATGCTGATACTACAGAAATTATTCTACTATATTGAGAAAGTTGGTATCCTTCCTAACTCATTCTACAAAGTCAATATCACCTTGATACGAAAGCCATGAAAGGATGCAACAAAAAAGAAAATTACTGACCAATTTCCCTCATGAATACAGATGCAAAAATGCTTAACAAAATTTTAGCAAATAGAATTCAGCAGCACATCAAAAAAATAATTCACCGTGACCAGGTGGGCCTTATTCCAGGGATGCAAGGCTGGTTCAACATATGCAAGTCTATAAATGCAATTTGCCTCATAAATAAAAACAAGAACAAAGACCATATGATTCTCTGAAGACACAGAGAAAAAGCATTAGACAAATTCCAATACACCTTTATGATAAAAAACTCTTAACAAAATAGGCATAGGCGGCTCATACCTTAAATTTATCAAATCCATTTATGACAAACCCACGGTCAATATCATACTGAATGGGGAAAAATTGAAACCATTCCCACTTCAAATCGGAACTAGACAAGGATGCTCAATATCTCCTCTTTTATTCAACATAGTGCTCGAAGTCCTAGCTATAACAATCAGGCAAGAGATGGTTTTAAGGGTATCCAGTGGGGACAGATGAGATCAAACTCTCGCTCCTCGCCGATGATATGATATTATACCTAGAAAACCCCATGAAATCGTCCAAGAGACTCCTAGATCTGATAAATGAATTCAGTAAAGATGCAGGTTACAAAATCAATATACATAAATCAGAGGCATTCATACATGCCAAGAACCTAGCCCCAAAGAATATTAAATATCTAGGAATATATTAAATGAAAGATACAAAAAGGCTTAGACAAGGAGAACTATGAAACACTAAAAAAAGAAATTGTAGAAGATGTAAACAGATGGAAAAGTCTACATTGTTCATGGATTAGTAGAATCAATATCATTAAAATGTCAATATTACCTAAAGTGATCTACAGAATAAATGCAATCCCCATCAAATTACCACCATCATTCTTTACAGATCTTGAAGAAATAATTCTGCATGTTGTATGGAACCAGTAAAAACCTAATATAGCCAAACAATGTTAAGTAAAAAGAACAAACTGGGAGGCATCAGTCTTCCTGACTTCAAGCTGTATTATAAAGCAATAATAATTAATTCAACCTGGGACTGGCACAAGAACAGAAGCATCAATCTTTGCAATAGGACAGAGATTCCACAGATAAAACCATCTGCATATGGTAACCTAATCTTTGATAAAGCAGACAAAAATATACACTGGAGAAAAGAATCTCTCTTGAATAAATGGTGCTGGGAAAACTGGATAGCTACATGCAGAAGAATGAATCAGGATCAATACCTCTCACCTCTCACAAAAATCCACTCAAGATGGATAACAGACTTAAACCTAAGGCATGAAACCTTCAGAATCCTATAAGAAGATGCTGGGAAAACCCTTTCAGACATTGGCCTAGGCAAAGAATTCTTCAAGAAGACTGCCAAAGCAATCACCACAGCAACAAAAATAAACAAATGGGATCTGATCAAATCAGAAAGCTTCTGCACAGCCAAGGAAACTATCATTAGAGCAAATAGACAACCTACAGAATGGGAGAAATTATTTGTTCTCTACACTTCCGATAAAGGCATGACAACAAGAATCTATCTAGAACTCAAAAGAATTAACAAGAAAAAAATCAAACAACCCCATCAAGAAATGGGCAATGGAAATAAACAGAAACTTTTCCAAAGAAGACAGAATAATGGCCTGCAAACATATTGTAAAAATGCTCAGCATTTCTAGTCATTAGAGGAATGCAAATCAAAACCACAATGAGATATCACCTAACTCCAGTGAGATTAGCCTGTATCAAGAAATCCCAAAACAACAAATGCTGGTGAGCATGTGGAGAGACAAGAACACTCTTACAGTGCTGGTTGGACTGCAAATTAGTGCAACCTTTGTGGAAAAGAAGTTGGAAATACCTCAAAGAGCTAAAAATAGAAATACCATTCGACCCAGCACTAGCATTAGTAGGCATCTACCAAAAAGAGGATAAGACATTCTATTATAAAGGCATGTGCACCCGAATGTTTATGGCAGCACAATTCACTCTTGTGAGGATGTGGAAACAACCCAAGTGCCCGTCAATTCATGAGTGAATTATTAAAATTTGGTATACGTTTACAATGAAATATTACTCAATTCTAAGAAAGGACAGCGAGCTAGCACCGCTTATATTATCCTGGCTTAAGCTTAAGCCCATTATCCAAAGTGAGGTGACACAAGATCAGATAAACGGGCTTCACTTGTACTCACCATCAAATTGGTACTGACTGATTAACACTGTGGTGCTCTAAGGGTGGTGGTGTTCCCCAGGCATTTGGGGGTTGGCGGTTTAAACACACATCTGAGGGATGTGGTGAGCATTATGGAAAAGAGTGGCATACCTCTAACCCTTGCTAGGGAGAGGCAAAGATACAAAATGTAACCAAAATGTTAAAAAGAAAACCACAACATTTATGGGGTGTCAGGCAGGGAGAGAGGGAGGGGAAAGGCATCTACACACACAATGAGTGCCATGCGCACCCTCTAGGGGATGGACACACTTGAAGCCCTGATTCAGGGGGGTGGCGAGGCAAGGGCAATATACGTAACCTTAACCTTTTTACCCCCCAAAATGCTGAAATTAAAAAATAATAATAATTAGTCACGGACTATGGCTCGGGGGTATTCCAAAGATTACAATTTAATTTCTAACTTCAGCAGAAAGGGCAGGATAAAGACCTCCAGAAACTTCTCTCCTCCAATAAAGAAGTGAGAAAACTGGCAAAAATGGTCACCATCTACATTTTCCGATTTCTGGAACATCACATAACTTGTAGCAATTGGGAGAAAATTGATGACAAAAATAAAAGACCTGAGTTTTAGTTAGAACCATGAGTTTTGTGCAATTTTAACTCGTCCTAGTCTTACCCTTTGTCCTGTAGGCCCAAAGTAGGTCAGAAAACTCAAAGCCCACATTCCTGGTGAAAATCAGCAATGTGGTAGCCACTTGGCAGAGCAGAATGGGGCTGGAGTGCCCTCAAAGCCTCATTTTTTAAGAGACTCATCACTCATCAACCTGTCTGGTGGACCCTGTAACATCCTACTTGTCTGTATTTACCCTGATTTGGAGCTTTCCCAGAGCAAAAATCCTCTCCCCTGGCACAAATGTAAAAAACAATTACAGGCAAATGTGTCACTTTGTTACTGTTGAGGTAGAGGATAACAGCTGGGGTAAACAAGTGGCCCACAGAAAGCCTGCTCTCCATCGGTTTAGTGAAAGAATCCCACAGGGCGTCAGTGGAGCAGGGTGTATGGGATGGCATCTGAGGCTCAGCCCTGTCATTTGTTCCTGCCACATGTTCCTCGTGATTCTGCTGAAAGACTCCTGGGACAGGCAGTGTGTTCTCTTCACCGAGGATCGATGTTCAACCTTTGTTTGAATCCATTACTAACGTTTGCTTTTCTTTCTTGCATTCTTGCAGCAAGGTAGTGGAAACACATCTGAGGAGTCACCTGAACTCAAGCAGGGCTTGGGAAGGTCTTGCAGTTCATTGTGTGTTAAAAATACCCCCAGGCTGATTGTGTGGTTCTAATCACTTCATTTAGATGACACAATGTAGAAAGTGTTGGAATAATCATTTTATTTAGATGAGACAATGTAGAAAGTCAGTACAATGCAGTGACTGAGAGTGTGGGTGCTGGGGCCAGGTGACCTGAGATCAAACCCACGTGTCTCTGGGAATGTCCCTTAGCCCCTCTGTCCTCCCTCCCCTGCTCTGGGGTGTGGAAATGTGGATGGGGGGGTCTGTTTGTTACCATAGTGTGAAGGGCCTAAAAATAAGTAAATACAGACAAAGTCTGAAGAAAATGACTTGTACCATAAGTACTACCTACATAAGTGTTCAATTTTCAGAAGAATAACCAAGGCACCTAGCGCTGGTGACCTCCAGGGAGGGAACACGGGAGGAGACAGGTCAGGGGAGGACCGAGCCTCATTCTTCCCCATGGGCAGGGGTCTGACTCTTCATAGCTCGTGGAAAACATCTATCTTGTGATGTAGGGTGGGCAGAGTAGGAGCTGTGACTCCTGTTTTATGGTTCAGGGCGCTGAAATTGACAGAGGTTAAGTGACTTTCTCAGAGTCACCACACTGAGGACTGATGAGTCTAAGGCAGAGAATATAGTTGGTTCCCTGGGGGCAGAGATCCCTGAACACCGGGGACCACTAGGTCACTCCTGGACACAGAACCTAGAGCCCTCCTCACTCCCTTTCCCAAATCCTCCTTCCCCCAAGGATGCTGCAGGGAGACAGGTGAGGCCCTGGGGGAGGTGTTGGCCCAAGAGAGTGGTCCACGTCTTGTCTCAACTCCTGGCTTGACATTTCAATCCCTGACCCCAAATGCACTGCTTCCCCCAAATGCAGCCCTCCGGAGGGACCAGGAGGGTCCCATTTTGTGTTCATCTTCCCAGCATTTGAGACTAAAGCTGCCTCTTGGTGAGACTTCCCTGTGATGAGGCAACCTCCCAAATGACTAGTGTCTCCTCCACTCCCAACTGACGCAGAACCCAGGACATTCCGAGCCAACTGCCCCCATGACAGTTGCACAAAACATAAGCTGTGCCTCCAACTGGCCAGACTAGAAGCTGAGCAGTTACGACTATTTAACTGAAAAACTGGCCTGTTGGGCTGGTGCTTAGGTGGGTCAGTGAATACAGCCCACAAGCTTCCAGTGTCCCTCTGACTCAAGTTCTGCCAACTGTCAGAGCAGCCCAGACTCAGGCCTGGCTGAGAAGGGGCAGTGGCTGCAGCAGCTCTGAGTGTCACTTTCCTGCTTACGCCCTTCCTCACCAAAACTCAGTCCTGCTGTGTGAACTGCAGTCCTCACTGGGCCGTCTGCTTAAGGGCTTCATGTCCACAGTCCCTTCCATGGAGCAGTTGGCAGGGGGTGGTGTTTTTGGCTCTACCCTGTAGTGAGGCCAGAAGCGGATTTCAACACACTTCTGGGAAAGGGTGGTAGATTTCCTTGACCACAGATCACTTTTCTGGCGTATCCTGTATTTTAATCTTTCTTGACCTTTCCTTGTTGTATACCTGAGCCAAGGTCCTGGAAAATACATTCAAAATAGATATAACGATTGACATCTTATTGGCAGAAAACCACGGGCAAGTGTTAATAATCTTTCCCCAGGTCACACTTCGGTTCCCCAGGTGCCTAGAGGAGCCACTTGAGTCAAAGTTGGGCTTAGGAAGAGGGACCCTGCAGTGTAGTGTGCACTTAACACAACCCAAATTTTAAGTTACATATCCTGCCACAATAAAAATGAAACCTATGGAAAATAGGCAAATCCATAGATACACAAAGTTGGTGATTTGTCAGAGGCTGGGAAGAGGAGGGAATAGAGAATGACTGCTTACTGGTTGCAGGGCTTTCCTTTGGGATTATGAAAATGTTTCAGAAACAAAGGAAGTGCTTTCACAGCACGTGAACAAACACCACTGAATTGTATGCTTTTAAAAGAAACCCAATGGGCTGACAGTGTGGGGATATTATTGGGAGGAGGCAGATTCGCTGGGTGAAAGGTAGCAGAGCACAGAGACTGAGAGCAAGTGGCAGGTGCCTGGTGGCCTGCGGTCAGATGTCACCTAACCTAGGAATCGCCAGAAAGAGGAGTTGATGGGTAGGAAATAGAATAAAAAAGAGACGCAAATAGGAAATGAATTCCATGCAGACTGCTGGTCTATTCCTTATTAGAAAAGGATGTTTGCTTCAGCATGCACCAGAGCAGTGATGGTGACCAGGTGGGCTTTGGGAAAAAAGAACAGGGTTAGAGTTGAGATGAGAAGTTGAGTCCTGCTGCTTCTGACATTTTATAGCCCAACTACAGAACCCAATTCTTCCTCTTCTCTGGAAACTTGTCTGAGAACCTGATTCCTTCATCTCTGCAATGGGGCATGGTCTAGGATTTCCAGGTCAAATCCGATAACTGTCAGCAGGAAAGGATGCCTGTGTCATCCTGTCCCTCCCAGAGGCAGCCACTGTCCCCAAGGCCTCCTGTGTGTGGTGCTGCCTTCCCTCTCCTGTGTCCCTCCCTCATGATGGTTCTCTCATACGGGAACGTTGGTGGAAAGATCCAGGCTATCCTGCACCCACCCTAACCAATGGATTGATGAATTACCTACCAATCAAAGCAAACCCAGGGAGCACCTGTCGTGGGTGTAGGATGGCATTGGTCCTGTGGGAGAGAAACACAACCAATTTGGCATGTGAAGGAAATTCCCCTGACCTGAGGAGACCTCAGGAACTTGGGAAGTATTTGATCCTCACAACAAACCCACAACTTCTCTCAGCTATAAAAGAGGGTGAACACAGGGTCAGACAAAGTAAGGTGTCTAAATCCCCTTAGTCTGTGAGTCAGGCAAGCAGTTGTTGCCACACAAATAAAGGGGACCCCCAGGGTTTGTACCGAGCCAGGGGAGGCTGGCAGGGAGGGACCCGGCAGGTCCGAGGACCAGGAACAGGTTGGGTCTGACAGGAGGGTGGGGACCAGGGCAGCGCTGTCTGCCCAGAGCAGTGGGTCTGAGAGGAGCAGGGGCCTCTGTTTCTGTTGGGTGCCTGACCTGGGACTGACTCTTTCCTGGAGATCAGGCGGATGGCACTGCGACAGCTGGTGTGGCAGCAGGCGGGGCAGCCCCTTCACAGGTCCCCTGGACTCCTGCCGGCCTGGAGGGTAACCAGGGGCAGCTGGACATGGGGCTCTCAGACGGACCAATTAAGGTTTTTTTCCTACTCCAAATTTGGGTTTGGGTGAAGAGTGGATCTCTTCCGAGAATGAGACAATCTTTCAGGCAGCAAAAAGCCTAGGAAGACATTGACTTAGGACAGATCAGGGTCCTAATTTGCAGTTACTTACAGCTAAGAGTAAATGGGATAGGAGGAGCATGTGATTTTGGTGGTGCTTCAATGGGATGATTGCTTTAGAATAACCTATGAGTCCTACCGGTGCCTTGTGCCACACGGTGGCGACCAGTCTCCTATTTCCACTGGAACTCTTGGATTGTTTTTTCCTGTCAAAATTCATAGTTGATAACTCTTTGTGCAAATGGAATGTTCACCATCTGCAGGAGTGTTGTTCTAAAAAGGTTTTTTTTATTATTAAATTTCATAATCACATGATTCTCACGTCCTTCTGTTATATTACATACATTTCTGGGTGACATCCTAGGAATAATTAATCAATAACTTGACTTATATGAAAATTCGATAAGGTGGTAACGCCACTGCACATTGTCTTATAAATATCGTCTGTTATGCAATTTCCTGAAATGAATTGTTTTCCTAAGTGCAGATAATCGGTTACTGTATATTTTTAAGTGTTCATTTAAATTTTTTGAGGTAAGAATAGACAATGGTAATAACTAATGATTGATTGTTTCTCTTTCCACATGTGCATGTTATTTTGTATAAAAGGTTTTTTTTTTAAACTACAAAGGATAAATATTGCTTAATGAAACAAGGCCCAACATTAAATGTAAAATATTTCTAAAAATAATTCTATATACCTACAATTCACAAATGAAATATCTGGAGCTACATTAGCTGACGTGGGGAGGACAACAGTGAGCAGGCCCTTGTTCTGTGGCCTCGTGTCTGATTCGAGCTTCCCAACCCTGTGCCAGCTGCAGGTCCCCTGGGGCCCAGGCTGACACCTGCACGTCTCGGCCTCCCCAGGTGTCGGCACAGGAATGTGCAGCACAGAGGCAGGTGCAGGGCCCTGGGGAAGCACAGAGATGGGGGGCAGGGGTCTCTGGGGTGGGTGTGCAGGACCCAGCATGAGGGAGGTTTTACAGGCATTAAAGATGCAAGTATATCAACTGCCTGCTGACACCAGACCCTTCTGGGGGAGATTCACGAAAAGAGGGAAAGAAGGCATGGGGAAGAGCCTCAAAGAGGATTTGATGGGTGGGAAACACAATAAAATAGCAACGCAAATAGGAAATAAATTACATGCTGGTTGATGTTGTTCTCCTCATCTGAAAAGCCTGTCTCAGCATTCACCAGAGCAGTGATGATAGCCAGTTGGCCTTGGGAAAAGAAAGAACAGGGTTAGATTTGCGGGGAAAACCTGGGCTGTGCTGCTCCTGGCATTTGACAGCCTAATGACAGAACCCAATTATTCCTCATCTCTGTAGTCCTGTCTCAGAACCTCATTCCTACAACTCTGCAATGGGGCATGGGTCTAGGACTTCCAGGTCAAATCCGATAACTGTCAGCAGGAAAGGATGCCTGTGTCATCCTGTCCCTCCCAGAGGCAGCCACTGTCCCCAAGGCCTCCTGTGTGTGGTGCTGCCTTCCCTCTCCTGTGTCCCTCCCTCATGATGCTTCTCTCACACGGGAACGTTGGTGGAAAGATCCAGGCTATCCTGCGCCCACTCTAACCAATGGATTGATGAATTACCTACCAATCAAAGCAAACCCAGGGAGCACCTGTCGTGGGCGTAGTATGGCGTTGGTCCTGTGGGAGAGAAGCACAACCAACTTGGCATGTGAAGGAAATTCCCCTGACCTGAGGAGACCTCAGGAACTTGGGAAGTATTTGATCCTCACAACAAACCCACAACTTCTCTCAGCAATTAAAGAGGGTTAACACAGGGTCAGACAAAGTAAGGTGTCTAAATCCCCTTAGTCTGTGAGTCAGGCAAGCAGTTGTTGCCACACAAATAAAGGGGACCCGCCAGGGTTTGTACCGAGCCAGGGGAGGGCTGGCAGGGAGGGGACCCGGCAGGTCTGAGGACCAGGAACAGGTTGGGTCTGACAGGAGGGTGGGGACCAGGGCAGCGCTGTCTGCCCAGAGCAGTGGGTCTGAGAGGAGCAGGGGCCTCTGTTGCTGTTCGGGTGCCTGACCTGGGACTGACTCTTTCCTGGAGATCAGGCGGATGGCACTGCGACAGCTGGTGTGTGCAGCAGGCGGGGCAGCCCCTTCACAGGTCCCCTGGGACTCCTGCCGGCCCTGGAGGGTAACCAGGGGCAGCTGGACATGGGGCTCTCAGACGGAGCCAATTAAGGTTTTTTTCCTACTCCCAAGATTTGGGGTTTGGGTGAAGAGTGGATCTCTTCCAGAGGAATGAACAATCTTCAGGCAGCAAAAAGCCTAGGAAGACATTGACTTAGGACAGATCACCGGTCCTAAATTTGCAGTTACTTACAGCTAAGAGTAAATGGGGGTGATAGGAGAGCATGTGATTTTGGTGGTGCTCAATGGGCTGATCACCTAGAATAACTTACCAAGTCCTACCTATGTGTTGGTGCTTTTCCACATACAAATTTCATTTTATATAAAAGGCTTTTTTTCAAAATAACTACAATGGATAAATATTGTTTAATGAAACAAGGCCCAACATTAAATGTAAAATATCCCTAAAAATAATTCTAAACACCCACAATTCACAAATGAAATAGCTGGAGCTACATTAGCTGACTTGGGGAAAACAACAGTGAACCGCCCTTGTTCTGTGGCCTCGTGTCTGATTTGAGCTTCCCAACCCTGTGCCAACGGCAGGTCCCTTGGGGCCCAGGCTGACACCTGCACCCTCAGCCTTACCAGGTGTCAGCACAGGAATGTGCAGCACAGAGGCAGGTGCAGGGCCCTGGGGACGCACAGAGATGCGGG